TGGTAGACAAATTGGACTGTTCAGGAGTTTACTGTATATCATGTGGCGGCTGCAGACAGAAATTAATTGGCGAAACAGGTAGAAAAATTAGCACACGAATCAAGGAACATCAGAGGCTTTGTCGGAAAATGGATACTGAAGGATCAGAACTAGCGGAACACATCGCACGGATTGGACACGGGATCGATTGGAAAGCAACAGAAAGGAAGGCTCCATACGGTGACAACACAAGGAAGCGGAAGATTAAGGTCATTGACATCCTTGAGGATACAAATCTAATGAACAGGAGATTGGAGGAAGGTAGAGTTAGCGACAACTTTGCCTACTGCCTAAGCAAAATCGGAGAAAATATTAGAGCATGACCAGCAAAAAGGATACGCATGGAGCAGGGATCTGCCACTAACCGGAGGAAAAGGGTTTGCGATGATGAAAGTGGGGGGCGGGGGTATTCGGCAATTTGAATAAACCAGTACAACTTTGGGGGGCTGGCAGTTAGGGAGCTGGGCAGACGGATAAGCAAACCGTCATAGAAATTTGGGGTTCTGGACAAAATGCAATAGAAATCCACTTGAGATGCCGCATCCGACCAGAGATAGGCGTCCACATTTAGCTCAGATAACATGTGTTTAATCAAGAAGACGACCAGTTTAGGGAAGGCCTGATATCTGCAAGCAGAGCTTAGGCGCTCTGCTCAGTGAAGCTGCAGTGTATGTGCTTCTAGGTCCTTGAGAAATAGCGCATGGAATGAAATGCACTCAGGGACTGGACCCGTATGAAATCAGTCAACCAGAAAGATAAGGAACGGATCTACGAGACAAAAAAGGATCCGGATTGGAGGCCCGAGTGGGATAAGCCCATCGAAAGAGAGGGGTCGGGGTAAATAGCAAGTGTGATTATTTGCCACAAAAGGGCACACATTTTGATGATTGAAATGTAAACAAGTGAGAAGTTGTGATAAGGCGGCAGTAATATAAGAGGTTAAAGAGTAGATAGATAGACAATGACAGAAAGAGGAGTGATAGTGTAACCGTTTCCAGCAGAAGGTTAGTGATGGATTGGCTTCATTTGTCTCTTTAACGAGTTCGTAGCTTGGTGCGGAGAATGGCAAAGCTCACTAATCATGCCGACAACGATACCGGCGAAACGTTTGAGAATGTATCAAGTCCACTGTCAGATGCTGGTAATCATGACAACTACTATGGCAGACGACTTCGGACTAGGTGCGTTCTACATCAAGATCAAAATCATTATTTGGCTGTCTGAAATCAGGCTGCCTAAGAACCTACTATTCCCGTCCTCGATTACGACATATTCGAGGCTTTTGAGCACATGATGCCTCTGCACATGCCAGTGCCTGGAAATCTTCCTCTTCCTAGGTCTCAAACTATGACTCGATTATCCTCTCGCTCATCCCCACCCACATTTTGTCTCATTATTTGGGACCCTGTATCCAGTTTAAATCATAACCAATGGTGCGAGAATGCCCCGCTTCATTTATTACGCCTGAATCGCGAAAAGCACACTCCTCTCGTCTCTCTAATTGCCATTGCCATATAATCCTAGTGTACTGAGATGATGGTCTGGTGTGTGCATTGGCTGGTGCCATCCGTAGTCAATCCTGTCACCAGTCGCCTCCCGTTCAGACAAATACGAAAAATACAAACAATACCCACGGACACACCCTGGTGACCTCTATCCATCCCACCTATACCAATAGCTTTTAATTTCATATCCTACATCTCACAGGTGAACCCCTTGGTGAATTTTCGGCCAATTCCATGTTTTGACTACTCTCACTGCAGTTGCCCTTCGTTTCTAATGAGCCGCTCCTTGGTGATGTCTCTTCCTGTTGTTAAACAGCTGTCTTGTGTCCAGGCGTCTTCTTTTTGGTGTATTCGCTTAATCCGCAATTCTGCTCAGGCAGTACGCGAAATTATCGCTGACTCTTCTCTCGCCCAATCTCCTGTTCATCAGGTTTCTTTAAAAGAGAGTGTCCACAGCCTTCCTGATCTTCCTTTTTTTGGTATTTTCCCATTGTGAGACTAGTCTTTTAGTTGCATTGTGTGGCTAGCAATGGCGATGTATTCAGCTATCTCCGATCTTTCCGTATCCATTTTTCGGCATAGTTACTGTTGTTCTTTACTCTCTGAGCTGATTGTCCTTTCCGTCTATCAGATGTATTTTTGTTTACAGTCCTTGAAGTTTTTGCTGTAAACTCCGGAGCACTTCATTTTGTTGACT